GGATAAAATTATGTCGAAAATTAAATGATAATGAATTTTATTGAAGATATGAAATAAAATATCTCAGAAACTAAAAATCGAACCTGTATATTGTAAGCGAGGGAAATATTCCTCATTTTATCCTCTCTGTAATGGACTATTATTCAAAATTGTATCTTAACGCGACGCAAAAGGGAAAAAAATCATGTCAAAAATAAATTTCAGATGTGAATTAAAATATCTCAGAAACTAAAAATCGGAACTGCATATTGTTAGCAAGGAAAATGTTCAAAATTTCATCCTCTTTACAATGAGCTATTATTCAAAATTTAATCTTAACGCCATGCCATGTTAAAGATAATAAAAGGATAAAATTATGTCGAAAATTAAATGATAATGAATTTTATTGAAGATATGGATAAAAATATCTCAGAAACTAAAAATCGGACCTGCATGCTGTAAGGTTCAGCATTTCATCCTCTTTGGAATGAGCTATTATTTATAATTTATATTTCGTATATTATTCTAGACTTGATGTTTTCACTTCTATCGCGTGGTCTCTGAAGCACACACCTTAATTTTTGTTTTAGCTATCGTCATCAAGTCAGTGAGTGAATAGTATCTTCTTTTTTTTATTCAGAGAGAAAATCAATAAACTATGAATTATTATCAATTTACTCAGCAATCAAATAGAGTTACAAGTGCATGATTAAGGTCAATCATAGCCCTCAACTGGACCTTGTGTCATTTAATTAAAAATTAACTCAACGTTTCCCCAGTGATCTATCGATTCCTAGTTTAGTTGATTATAGATAACGGATAATACCTTCTCGACGTTTTTGATAACCTTTTGTTGTTGATTGTTGATACAATTCTGTTGTTGATTGATCAACAGATATTCACTAGTTTAGGTCTTTGCCGCTCTGTAAAATGACAGATAATAGGTTATTACAAAAGATCTTCTGCCTCCTTAAAATACCAATTGTTAATTACCTAAATTTTTTTTGTAATCACTTCGCAATAAACAAATTTTTTTTTTTTTCTATAAAAAATGTATTTGCGCCTGTCAACTTATTGTTGACATGACAGGCATGGGGAAGGTAAGTATTCAGCAGTACCTCTTCCCTAACATGTTTCAATTACTTATGTTATTTAAGGAAGGAGATCTCTCATCCAACGCCTTTTTAGTCTCCTCTTCATGTTCTGAGGTATGTCAGCTGTGGCCATGTCTCTTATTAGTCTGTTATTATGTCTGTTTAAATTTGTGTAAAATCGTTGATAAAGGATCGTTTTTGTTTTTGTAGGTGGGTCTTTTTAGAGATGCCGTATATTTGTGATGAGTATGTCAATATGGGTTTAAGTAAGTATGTATATGTATTCAGTTTCTGTTTTGGTTTTAGTTTTGAAAATTTAGAGAAAAGAGAGTAAAGTAGTTTGAGTCGTTTGTTAAGTGTCTTAAGTTTCATTTTAACATGCGGACGCCATGTCATCCTTCTGTCGAAGGTGAGTCCAAAGAAAAGTACCGCGTCCGTTTGAGGAATTCGATTGTTGTCAAAAAATGTTCTACTTTTCTGTGTAGAATGTGATTCTGAAGACGGACGATGATTTCTTTTCACTTTGTTGTAGCTCTTGAAGAGTACTATTACCTCTTAAAATGTTTCTTATTATTTATAAGACACCCAGTACAGATATGTTTTAAAAATAAAATTTGATACAAAATCAGATTTTCTTTATTTACATAAAAAAACTTAGGGTAAAGGTATCAGTGATGGATATAGCTAAGGAAATATTTGTATTTTTTTGCTTATACCGCCGTAATTATTATAGTCATAAACTTCTCCGTTGGACATTTAGAATCTCTAGGGTCTCCTTTTCTTATTTAACACTTTAAAATTGAAAACACAAATAAAATTATCCATAATGACCTTAACGTACCATATGTTTCCGATTCAGCTCAATCCAGACACCTATCCTTCTATAACAAACTTCAAAACACTCCAGTTTTGTATATTATTGTGTTCTACTGTATTAAGGCATAATTGGACTTACGGAGTTGCGCTTTGGGGTTCTATTAAACTATCTAATTCCTCTCCTATACAATCCAAAATCCTTAATGCTTCTTATTTTGTTACAAATAAAATAATCCATTAAAACTTGAATGTTCCATATGTTTCCGATTTGGGCCAATCCAGAAACCTATCCATCCATAATATACTTCTGACCCATCCGAACCCTCTCGTTTCCAACCTTGCTTCGTCTTCTATTCCTGATTACACTCCGAGGAGTCTGAAAAGAAAATGGCCTCGTGATCTATTTATGTAAATATACTATTAGAGTGCTACCAATGGGTAGTTTCTCAACAAGCGTTTTCATGTGATTGTATTATTACCGTGTGAACATTTACTGGATGTATTTTTAATTTATACAGTTGTAAATCTTATGAATAAATTTTTAAAAAATTGAAAAAGTAATCGTGTATGCAGTTATAATCTACATATTAAAAAGCAACATATTTTTGCACTAGTGATGGACATCCCGAAATTCAATTGTTCTAGTATTGAACAGGGGATCGGTACCAGTATTAGACATACCTCATAAAAATTCTAAAATCTTAATTTAACTATAAAAATAACAATAAAGATGAAATGAAATGAAATGAAATGAAATGAAAATAGCCTTTATTTATGCACTAATTACAATTAGTGCAGTATGATATACATTATTAGTGTGCAATATAATTAAAATTACAATTTCAAAAGCAAACAAAACAAAATAAAACAATTTATTTTTTCTTTTATTTATTTATTTTTTACATTATTATAATTTATACAAAACTTTTTACTATCTTGCATAGGCCTTCCCTTAGGAGTAATAGTCTTTAACACTTCCCCGGGTGACTAGCCCTACTGGGAGGCGGGATTTCTGACCTTTAACCATTTTTCTTTCCACACATCTCTGTCCCTAGCTGCTCTCCACCAGAGAGGTCCTGCCAAAATCCTGAATGGATCTCTCCATCTCTTCATTTGTCGGCCTCTCATCATTTTCCGGTCATATGGAGTCCATTCGGTGACTATTTTTGACCATCTTTTGTCAGAGATGTCCAGCCCATTTCCATTTGCCTTTTCTTATTTACGAGAGTGTGTATTTGAGCTCTGTTTCTTCTTTTATCTCCTTGCATCTGATTTTATCTATCTTCTTTACTCTCACAATGCTTCTTTCGATGATATTTTGTCACACCATGATCTTCCTCTCTTGGACTTTTTTCAATGACCATGTTTGGGAGCCATAGGTCACCACTGGCATAATACATCTATCGATAGCTAGCCTTTTTAGGTCGATATTTATGTTTCCTTTAACTATGAAGATAATATAACATAAATGTTCAACATAATCTTAGCAAAACTGTTCGTATTAAGATATGAGACACACTGATCTCAAGAGCACTATAGAAACAACAATGATATACATTTTAAAATTTTCTTTTGGGAACTTTGTTCATACAGTTGTCAATAGAGGCCATTGTTCTTCAATCTAGAAAAAACTGTAACCTTTAAATCAACATTGAATCTTATTATTTACATTTAAAGTACCTTCCATTACATTACATGTCCATTACTGGGCTGGCTCCCCGTTCATAACTTATGCGTTCATCCCACTTAAATTTACACACTTATTTAAAATTTAAAATAATATCTATATGTTAACATATCTTATAAATTCATCTTAAAGTAAATAAGTAAGTAATTAAAATTAGAGACATTTTAAATGATATATATTATTTCTAAAAGGTTTTTTTTTCGTCGGTAAGCCATAACTTCGTGAATTCTTCATCAAATCCAATGATTGACCACTCATTTTGAAGATATTTTTCTCCTTCACATGCAAAAAATAGTCCTATCCCCTCGAAATTTCTGGAAAAAAGGTTATGAAGGAAATGAAGCTTTATTTGCGAATAACTCAAAAAGTATGCAATTTTTTTCTTGATTGTACCCATGATAATTAGAAAGATTACTAAATTACCAAAAAAAAAGCAAAAATTGATTAGAAATATGTATAATTTAAACAATTTTTATTGACAGAAGGAGTTAAGTGTGTTAAAATATTTTTGTAAGGAGAAACAGAGTTGAGATTTGTATTTCGCAGCGCGAAAGAACCTCGAATACGAATTTCCATTGCGATCGAAAAATAAAAATTTTATCTTATTTCGAAAATCACAAAAAGTGATTATAACTTCAATATTCTTCCACCTATTCACACGAAATTTTGCAGGGATATAGGGCCTTATAAACTACACGAAATGACACAAACTGTGCCTTCCTAAATAATTTAGAACTCAAGTTATAAAATAAAAACCTGTTTTTATTTATTTACTCTTTATAGGCGTATTAAATCAAAAAGTTATTTATACCTTCTTGAAGAAGGATAACTCAGCTTTCCAACGGTTGTAGAAAGATTGAATTAGGACAAAATCCTTAGGAGTTTAGTTAAATGGCAATTACATTGCATTTAGGAGTAGAATAGTCTACTACATTTTTTTTTTTTCCTGGCTGATATATTAACTTTATTATTTCTTAAAGATATATGATTGTTCTTACATTTTATAATAATTTAGAATATGTCATGATGAAAGACATTATTTTGTCTTTGTTACTTTTATTATCTTTCCAGTAGCGTTTAAAAATAGGTCCTAGTAAAGCAATTTGTACAAATATTTTGATCTATTATGTTAAATGGATTATTGTAATCGACCAAGGAAAAAATATTAATTCTTTCCTTACATAATACATAGGAACTACTTATTTCTATATTTTTTTGCTATTTCTTCGCTAAACAATATTTTCTGCGAATTTTTCGCATGGTCCAACAATTTTTATTTATTAGATTGTTCAATTAATAGTTTTTTTTTGTTTTATATTTGTTTTCCAAAGTTAAATTTTAATATAAATATACTAATTTTAAAACTCTCGGAGTAAATATCGATATTTTTTTAATATTTAAACAATCGTTATTTCGACATATCGATGTCCAGCTGCTTAGGACGTAGGGGCTGGGGCGTTGGCGGATACTATATCCCGCAAGACTGTTAGGTTATGAGTGATAGGTCAAGACATGACAATTAACAATCGATTAATAATATAATTAATTCAACACAATATATTAAATAAATGATTCCTGATATTATTTATCTATATCATACATAATATCAACAATACCTTTCGTAAATGTAGATAGCTGAAAGTAGACTATTTTAATAAATAATAAATAAAGAATTATGACATTTGTTCATAAGTAATCCAATTTTTATTTTAAACTAATTGGGCCGTGTGAATAATTCGCATACTATATAGGAGGTAATGAACAAATGATAAAATATGTTATTTTATTTTTTATTAAAGAAATTTACAATTGTAATTAATAATAAATACAACAAGTAAATATGAACAAGTAACATGACATGTACAACATGAAGAGAAACTACCCATTGGTAGCACTCAAATTATATTTCTATATTAGAAGGTCCCGAGGCCATCTTCTTTTCAGACTCCTCGGAGTGTAATCAGGAATAGAAGACGAAGCAAGGTTGGAAACGAGAGGGTTCGGATGGGTCAGAAGTTTATTATGAAAGGACAGGTATCTGGATTGAGCTAAATCGGAAACATATGGTACATTAAGGTCGTTATGGATGATTTTATTTAAAACTAAGTAGGAAGCATTAAGGATTTTACGAAGGATTTTGGATTGTAAGGATTGGATACGAGAGGAATTTAATGGTTAGTAGAGCCCCAAAGCTCGATCCCGTAAGTCCAAATAGGCTTTATTATAGTAATATATATGAGTCTTTTGTAAATAGTTGGCAGTTTAGAGCCTTTGTCTAGTGAGTGCTGCAATAGCCGAAAACGTCGGACGGTTTCTAGTCGTTTCAGTCTGGTACGGGGGTTCCAAGTGAGTCGTTTGTCAAGGTGGAGTCCTAGGTATCGGAGTTGGTCAACAGGGATAATTGGGGTATTGTTAAAGGATACAGTAGGACAGGAAGTCATAAGTTTACGACGAATGATAAAATAATATTTAAAATAGTAAGGGGTGTGCTTTAGACCACACGATAGAAGTGAAAACATCAATAAGGCGAGATTAATAATATGAAATATAAATAATAGCCCAATACAGAAAGGATGAGATTCTGAACAATTCCTCGTTTACAGTATGCAGATCCGATTTTCATTTTCTGAGATATTTTAATTCATATCTTCAATAAAACACGTCATAATTTAGTTTTCGTCACTATTTTTTCTCTTTTCGCCTCCCTAACATGGCGTCGCGTTACGATACAATTTTGAATAATAGTCCATTGCAGATAGGATGAAATGCTAAACAATGTCCTCCTTTACATTATGCAGGCCCGATTTTTAGTTTCTGAGATATTTTAATCCATGTGGAAAAATATCTCAATTAGTCGATTCTTGACGACTTTAATCGAGCGTTAACACTTCGGAAATCTGACGGAATAATCTAATTCACTATCCACTAAAAAATTGCAAAACGCGGCTAACGAAGTTTTCACTTAATTTAAGTTAATTTAGTGTAATATGAAATGGAATAATTAAATTTCTTTTTCATTTTTGCTAATAAGGGCCTAATTTCAATGATTTATTTATTTATTTTTAATGAAATTCGGTACCTTTTTGAATAATCACGCGTATAATCAATCCACCTTTGTACTTTGGCATACTTTTTGAGTTATACGCAAATAAAGTTTCTTCTTCTTCTCTACATTTTTCTCTGAAATTTTGGGTAAGTGTGACTACTTTTCTCACTTGAGAGAAAAATTAAGTAGTATGGTGTACCGATAACAAAAAAAAAAATTGAAAAATAATATATTTTTTAATTTATACACATTAGATGAACAGTATATTTTAGGGCTCTTTAGGGTATACAGGGTTTTCCTCGGAACGAAAGAAACTTCCCCCGGCCGAGGGAAAGGGCGGCGGAATCATGTCGAGTTAAAAGTCCTAATCGTACCGCGATTTGAACTCGTTTATCATCAGATTGCCAAAGCAACGCGTGTTTTATACAAGGCGTTGACCAAAGCAAATGGATATTCATGAGTTTTGGTACTTAATTAAATAGACTAAGTTTGGCAATCTCCAAATTGAAAACACGAAATATTCGAGAATTTTCGTAGATAAAATAGTTGTAGATTACGATGAGAAGAAGCTTTTCACGAAGTTTTGGGCGGATGTTAATTATTTGATAAAAAGGGGTCTCTATCAAGTGACTAATTGTTATCACTCGATAAGAAAAAAAAGTCCCTATTGCCATCGTTATCCAGTTTCTCTCTAAGTACACCACTGTAAAGATATTAAAAATAAATTTTTATACTATGCCCAGTTAGGGTGGCTCTTTCCCTCCTTCAGAAGACAATACTTCCTTGGCACATTCCTTTATCAAATAATCAATAATCTTCGCCCTTCCTATGTATACAATCTCCTCCAATTTAAATCATCCCTCTCCACAAGATCTTCTGACCTTTACACCCCTTTCCATAGATCTGCTTGATTTCAACATTCCTTTATTGTCCGCTCTTCCACCTTTTGGAATTTCATCTCACTTAAAATCCGCCGAGCACCATCCTTATCCACATTCAGAACCCTCTTATTCCAATTCCTCTTCACAATCATATCAGACGCTGGTTAATTATGTATCATGTAACAAGGATAATTTTTTTTTTCATACACCATTATTTTATTTTTTGTTTATTATTAATGAACTGGAAAGATTCAGTATCACTTTTGGCATAGCACTGTGATGTGATGCATAAAAAGCAAGAGATTGTTGGTTGTTTTTATCCATTTTTCTTTTTTCCATCTACAAGATAGTGTATATTTTACACGTAGTTCATTTCTTACATTCCTCAATGTATTGTATTGTATACATATATATCTTTTCCTATCTTATTCTCTGTTTTTTTTTTTTTTTATAGTTTATAATACAATTGCGTATTGTATAACATATATAAATAATTTATTTTCTTTAAATCGGTTTTTTTTCTGGTGTGACCCAGTTGCTCATCTTCATGTTCTCTCATTAATATATATGTATATATTTTGTATGCTTTAGCTGTTATAAATTATATGTATATGTCAAATTATAAATATAGTTTAGTTTAAAAAAATAGGGAAGATTTTATTTTATTTTTTAGTAATTTACATACTATTATTTAAGTTTTTGTATATATTGTTTGAATCTTTATTGAATTAGTTTTTGGCCAGATATGTATTTTTTTCTTTTGTAACTGTTCATTATTGTTATTCTAAGGGGACATCGTCCCAGAATAAAGCTAATTTTCTATTCCATTCTACATATTTACTTGGTCTATTTATATTCTAATACAGTTGTAAATATAATGAATTAAAACAATATCTAATGAAGAGAAGAATAGTTGGGGTGGTCAGTCAAAAAAAAATTTTTACCTTCTTTAATGACAATAGTAAGAACTAAGAGATAAATAATAATAACCGTTACAAAGTGTGGAATGATGAAGTAGGCATAATCAAAAAGGGTGACATAAGTGTTAAAATGGGAATCTTAGAATTTAACATTTTAATACTTATGTCACCCTTTTTGATTATGCCTACTTCATCATTCCACACTCTGTAACGGTTATTATTATTTATCTCTTAGTTCTTACTATTGTCATTATTCTAAAAATTTCATTTTTTTTTTTTTTTTTTTTTTTTTTTTACCATCACTACTTATGTTTCTCATACCTTGTAATCTGGTTATTTTCTTAGCCCTGATGAAGGCCTGAACTTCAGGTCGAAACTTCGGCATATGTAAAAATAAATATCATAATTTATTTTGGCCTTCTTTTTTGACTGACCACCCCAACTATTCTTCTCTTCATTATCCACGACAGTCAACCATTTACTAATTATAAAAAAATATCTGTATACGATCTGGCAATGATCTAGGGAAAAAAAAATTTTTTGGCAGTATTATAAGGCCTATGCCGACGATATAATTAATATGGGAGAGTTTCCAAAAAAACCTTAAGAATAAAAACAAACAAATATCGCTTTTTGGCGTAAAAAATAAATATCCGGTAGGGAGTAGCCGGGGGCAGACTGAGAGGCGCGGGTGGGGGAAGGCTGGTGACGTCACCGCGCCTACTTTAGAAGCTGTCAAAGGGCCAGAGCCAGAGGAGCGGCGGGTGCCGCCAGTGAGTATGGCGGAGTACGCGAAGAGCCGAGGGTTCATCGCGGGTAACTCCGTGTCGCGGGGAGATCCCGACGGCGGCGATGTGGCGGAGTACGCCAAAGGCATCCTGGGCAACTCCATGCTCGAGGACGATCCCAACGCCAACTCTTCCATCGACCCGGAGGAAGTCATCAAGCCCAGGTGGGGCCCGAACCACAAGGGTGCAAAGGAGTTAGCCAACCTTTACAGCAGAGGTACCAACATTACTTCAATATATTTTATGTAAGGGGGGGCTCTTCAATATTTCTGTTTGTATTGCCTTCTTAGTAACTGGGTCGCTTGCAATTAACTCCTCTTAAATTATTCACCGAGGCATTTATTCAAAATTTAAATTGAAACCACATTTGGATCAGACCTAGCCAAAAAGTACTTATTAAAGTATATTATTTTAAAATACCTAGTAATTAGTATTTTTTAAATTAAATTGAAAAAATATTTTATTATTTAATTATTAACAAAATGCGTCTTACTAAGTTTCGCTTTACAACTAATTCCTTAAAATATAAAAAAAAATGGGAATTATTTTTAAACAATTTATAATATAAGTGATAATTCCTTTGCATTTTAATGTTCTCTGAGGAATTATATATATTTGGATTCTTTCTTTTTCTTTGCTATAAAGTACTTTAAAAAAGAGTTTTTTCCCATATAAATAAGTACCGATACTTCTTTTATTTTAAAAAATTGTGTTTTTTTAATCTTAGGTATTTAAAATACCAATTATCTTGTGTTATTGTAAAATTATTAAAGTCATTTCAACAAAAAGTATATAGAATATAAAATTCCAAAATTAAAATTTTAAATTAGTATTTTTAATTATATTAAAAAAATATTTTACACTTTAATTATAAATAAAATACATGGGTCTTACTAAGTGTCACTTTACAACTAATTCCTTAAAATATAATTTTTTAAAATATCAAAAATTTGGAATTATTTTTAAAATTAATATTATTTCTAAACAATTTATAATATAAGTGATAATTTTTTTATAATTAGTGATAATAATTAAGTGATAAATCCAAAAACATTTGGATCAGACCTAGCAAAAAAGTACTTCCAATATTATTCTAAAATACTGAGTAATTAGTATTTTTAATTAAATTCAAAAAATGTTTTATACTTTAATTATAAACAAAATACATGGGTCTTACTAAGTGTCGCTTTACAACTAATTCCTTAAAATATTAAAAAATTGGCAATTATTTTTAAAATTAATATTATTTCTAGACAATTTATAATATAAATGATAATTTTTTTTTAAATTTTAATGTTCTCTGAGGAATTATATATATTTGAATTCTTTCTTTTTCTTTGCTATAAAGTACTTTTAAAAAGAGTTTTTTCCCTTCAAATCTGTATCGATACTTCTTTTATTTTAAAAAATTGTGTTTTTCTACTCTTAGGTATTTAAATTACCAAGTATTTTATGGTTTTTTTTTAAACATCGTGTATTTTAATTAAAAACTATTAAAATCGTTTCAACAAAAAGTATTTTGAATATAAAATACCAAAAGTATTTCATATTTTAATGACAAAAACCAAATTACTAATGTCTCATGAAATGTCGCGTTAATACTTATTCCTTGAAATATAAGTTTATTTTTTGTGAGGAAGAACTTGTGAGTGGAGAAGACAGTGGATATACTTAAAAATGAATAAAATAAAATAAATAATTTTATACAATAATAATACTTGTTTTATAAGTGATATTCTATCAATTGTGTTCATTTTTTCCTCCAAATTATTATATAAATTCAATCCTTACATTTTCTTTATTAGAAAATACTTTTAATAACACATGTTTCTTTCCCGAATCTGTAGTGTTGCTTGTTTAATTTAAATAAATATTCTCTTCTTTTATATTACTTTTTTCTTTTTCATTTATATATATATTGTATTTGTAATCAAGAAATTCCTGGGGGGTAGGAAAAAAAAAAAAATTATATTACTTTTTATTATTTAAAACACTATTTTGTGTTTTAAAATATAGTTTATTAGAGATTAGAAGATTGTATATTCTTTTTAAAAAATAATAAAAGAATTGGAAATTATTTTATTCAGTTAATACAACATCTTGACAATGTTTTAAAAAAGTGATGTTTTGTCGAATTATATTAATTTAAATATTCTCTGAGTTATTACATAAATTCGATCCATCCTTTTTCTTTGCTAAAAAGTACTTCAAAATATTAAAAAAATAAAATTAAAAAAACATACTTTTTCTCAACTAAACATCTGATACAAGTTCTAGACAAAAAGTAATTTAAATATTATTTTCAAATATAATATTTATAAAATCAAATATATTGTGTTTTTAATATATAATGAATTTTAATTTAAAAATTACTTAATTTGTTTTGTTAAAACTGTTTTCAAATATCACATATCAAAAAAATTACAAAATTACATCTTGCATATAAACAAAAAAGTAGCATTTTACAACTAATTCCAATAAAAATAGTTTTATTCTGACAAGGAAAGTTAATACTATAAATGAAATAATTATTATTATAAATAAAATAAATTACTTAAGTACTTATTAAACATTACTTGAAAATATTATTAAACAAAAAAAGGCATGTTTTTTTCCTCAACTAAACATTTGCATCTTCACTTGTTTATTTACAAAATATGCTTTTCTAGTCTTTCCTATGATAAGACCTTGAAGTCCTACGTAATTATTTTAATCAATTTTCAGGTTAAACATAATTGTATTACAAATTTAACACAATTGACCTTAAAAAAATTCTAAGCTTGATTTATAAGGGTTAGTATTACCGTGCAAAACCATCCTTCTGCAAGAAGAAATTATTTAATTTGGTAATTTATTTTGTGTATTTAAAATACAAAATAAAAATGTTGAACACTCAACACCTTTGTTGAAAAAATTGTTCTTTTTTTTTTAGAAATCTAATTATTTTCCTTATGTTTTTATGATGTTTTTCAGTACTGTTTCAAGTTTTATTTTAATTTGTAGACTCTGAAAATAGGTTTTTTTTTTTTTTTTATACTTTGAAAAGAAAATACAGTTAAAAATAACGTAATTTATATTCCACTTCTTAAAATTTTAAAAAAGTTAATAATTTTCTTTTAAAAATTCATCAATTTCCATTTAGATTTACTTATTTTTTTATTAGTAAGAATTTTTATTGTTTTATATCTTTTCAGATAAAAAAAAAATGGAGCTTATTTATTGGTTGTCAATAAATTAATTATCTTAAAACTGATCTTATTGGAAAACCTTGGTGTTAAAACTATCTTATATGCTTTTTTATTTGTTGAAGCATTAAATTGCCGTTAATTGGATCACTATTTCCCATTATCATAATTATAATTTTTCTTGTTAATTGATTTATAATGATGATGTGAATTAATCTTTATATAGTTTCGCTCAAAATTAAAAAAAAAAAAATGTATTCAACTTTAAATCCATCCCAAAATATTACTATTATATCAGTAAATTGTACAAAAATTATCATGATTAAAGATAAAAAGAAACAGCACACTTTCAGTTATGTGCAAAATATTCTGCACTAATCTCATTCAAAACTACTTTTAACTCATTTTTGCACATTTTGTGAATTAGTTCACTTCTACTAAATGCCATCCAATTTAAACCTCTCACAATTGTCAAGTGTCCTAAATATTAAACTCTGGAAACACATGTTTAGACCAAATAAAGTATTTTTAATCTTTTTACTTGGAATTTTTTAAAAACAAAATCTCTATTTATCTTCAAGTGTTCTAATTTTTTTTTTTTTATAATTAATAACACAGAATAGACAAATTAAAACATTTTCAAAGCTAAAGAATCAGGTACTATTAAATTTTATGATTCTAATTTATTGAATAATGGAAATATGATAATAGATAAAACTATATAAAAACATACAATGATGTGTAAAATGTAGTAATAATTAAATAAGGTAAAAATGAATTTTTGATAATGAAAAATATTCCGAAATGACTCATTAAAAAATAATTGGGTAGAAGTATGAAAATCAAATAAATTGAAGCAATTATTAAATTAATTTTATCGAAAAATCCAAATATCTGCATAATATTGATAAATTTAACTTTTAATCAACTACTCTCTTTAGAATTTTTAATATATTTTTTTTTTTTTTGGAATAAACAGCAGAAAGAATAAAAATTGTGGAATTAACCTGTGACAATGTCAGTTTATAAAATTAACTAATTAGCTTCATATAAATATTATTAATTTTTTAATAATACGTGGTTAAAAAAAAAATAAACAATTTGGACTTGAACAGTGATAATATTAGTACTAATATCACTACAATACAACAATAAAATGATATTTTATCAAATGAAAAATTATTAGATTTATTATTCAAAAATTCTAATAACTTCCAGAAACATATTTTGCATAATATTGATAAAATTAATTATTAATTATCTATTTAAAATTATCACATTAGTTTCATATAAGTCTTATTTTTGCAAAAAAATATATTATAGGAGAAACTAGAATAATGGAATTGATTTATCTAGAACAACATATTCTATAATTGCCATTAACCATATAAAATGGAATAATACTTCATCAATAAAATTTCTTATAACTTCCAAAATATCTCGTTCATAATATTAATAAATTAAATTTTTTATCAACTGTATAAAATTATCGAAATAGTTTCATATAAATCTAACCGAATTTAAATAGTAATAATATTAGTGTTATTATCATTTCATAACTATCGGTACAACAATAAAATATTTCATCCATAAAAAAAATGATAAGTACGTTTTTAAAAAATTTCTAATAACTTCTAAACAATAAAAATTATTGAATTAATTTCACATAATGAATTATAACAATAATAATAATAATAATGTAACTGTAGTATATTAGAGTTATTATCTCTCCATAACTATCATAACAACAATAAAAATAAAAAATTTATTAATTCATTATTAAAAATTCTAATAACTTCTAAAAGCATCTCTTTCAAAATATTGATAAATTTAATTTTTAAACAATTATAAAAAAAAATATTAAATTAGTTTCATATAAATCTTTTTGCAATAATATATTGCAAGATAAATAAGAATATTGGATTTAAACTGTGATAATACCAATACAACTCATTCTATGATTACCAATAATAAAATTAGATAAAAATATTTCATAAATTAAAAAAATTTCTAAAAAATTTTTTAAATATTTATAACTTTCGAACTATGAAAATTATCAGATTAATTTCACATAATACATTATAACGATAGTCTAAATCATTACATAATTATAATTAACTACAATAAAATTATATTTTACTAATAAATTTAAATATAATCAACCATCAGTAGTTTAAAATATTTCAACTATTTTTAAAAACTCTGTAATGTTTGTTTAAGAAGTAAATGAATTTTCACATCTCGGACAATGGAGCTCGTTCTTGAATCTTCAAAAAGACTAATAATATTTCACAGTATGTGCTGTTTTTGTTATTCAAAATAACTTGAGAACGACACAATATGAATGAAATATAATCACTGTTCAGAGCCCCCACCACAACTAAAAAGGCATGAAATTTTCAATGAGTTTTATCTAAAAATGAAGCAAAATTTTGCCTGCTCCTGGTTGTTGCTTCTAACAGAAGGTTAATGGGTGTGAAGTTGTTGCATGTTGTTTAGTTATTAGCTTGCATGCTACATGCAGAGAGGCGAGTCAGATATTGACATTTCTTTAAGGGGTCAATCCCCCTTTATCCTACTGAACTCCTGAAAGCATTTTAAATAGAACTAGTTTGAACCAGTTCAATAAATAAAAACAAGAAAAAAATAAATAAATTCTGTCGTATTGAACACTTCATTATATAAAGGAGCTGGGCACAAGGGAATCAACAAGACAATAAATATTTAAAATGATATTGATACCTTCAAAACTCTACAGGAGCATTCAGTATAAGAAATCAATAGGACGAACATTTTATTTTGAATTATTCGTGTCAATTGGAATTCATTTAATTTATAATATAATCATCATTTTTTATTTAATTCATTACAGTCATTAATTATTACTTGAGCCTGGATTTTAAAGTAGTAAAAATCACTGAATATGCTTATGATATGCAATAAAAAAATATAAAGTAAAAACGTCCAAATATATGAAATAAAACTGCTAAAATATTCAAATATGTGGCTAAAAAAAAAGCTATGAGCTAAGAAAGAAATAAAGAAGTGATTAAAAATCAAATAAATATTTTTTCACATTTCTATTGTTTTTTGTATACCTTTGTATACCTGTAACATATACCTTACAGGAGCTAATTTGTTCAATAAAAAGAAATCAATAGCTGGTACATTTTATTTCAAATTAATCATATCAACTGGAATTGATTTAATTTGTACTATATTTACTTTTAACTAATTATAATCATTAGTTATTACCAGGGTCTTGATTTTTATTTAGTAAAACCCACAGAATATACCTTATGAAATGCAATACAACACTGTAAAATATGAAGCAAAATATACAATAAAAAATATAATATAAGAATATACCACAAACATCTCCAAATGTGCAAAAAAAAAAAAAAAAGAAACTATTGAAATAGGTCTACAAAAATCAAATCAAACAAATATTGCCTCACACTTTGATTTTTTTTTTTCTGTTGTATACCAAAATAGGAATTAGCACATGAAGTAATACAAAATAAAACGTAAATGAACTTATAACATTTATATTAATGTTTAAACTTAGGACAGAATTTAATATTCCTCAATAAACAATATAAAAGAGTGTGAATCACTATTTATGTGATTTAAAATATCAAAATAACTTAAACTTTCCTAGTAAAAAAGAAAAAGGCAGTATGTAATTGTATTTAAAAAGAATAACTAATCACAACATATAAAAATAAAAACTTAATATGAAAATAATTACGACATGAAATAACCAATAAGCAGCAGTAAGTATTTAAATATATTAAAAATTTTTTTGCTAATGGACAAAAACAAAATTCTAACCACATTTTAAAAACTAAAATATAATAGAAATATGAACTTATTATGGAAATAAAAAGAAAATTAGCATTCATTGTATTTCTAACTAATTGGCAAAATAAACAAAAAACTAAAATTCAAATGAATGCCAGCAACATATTCTTCAATAAACTGATTTACCAAGATGGATTTATAAGTTACAAGAAAAAAAAACTATAGATAATTAAATTGTATATAACATTTTATACAATTAATTATTTTACAATTATTATACAATTAATTTATGTTAGCTAAGCAAATAAAAAGTTCAGAAAATATCAGCATAAGAAGCATACATTATTTAATAATTATAAGCAAATAGATTACCTCATGGTTTTTGTTACATTTTTCCTACTTTATATTATCAAATAATGTTATTAATTTCAATTGTGTCATGCTTAAAAGCTGAATTATCATGAATAGGGATACCCAGAATTGTGTACACATCTTTGTTTAAAAATATTGTAAATATGACAAATGAATAATCTTTACCTCTCTCTTAAAAAAACAAAACAATTATTCACTACAATTAACAATCAATCCACTATTAAAAATTTTATAAAATTATGCGATGGGCAACTTTAATTCACCACGCTACTTGCAGCAGAATTAAATTATTAAAAGCTAATTAGCCTTCAGAATATTACTTTTATCATAAATAAAAACGCAATAAAATTATCATAAATTATAAGCATTCTGTGGATGTTTTTGGATTAACGAACCGGGAAAAAAAAATTGGTTTTCCATATATATTCTTTGGAAATTATATTCAATTTATATAGAAATATTTATTTCCCATTTGATTAAACAAAAATGTAAATTATTAACTACAACAATTAAAAGCATTAGCTTTTCATCACTCTGCATATAAACATATAATATAAATATAAATGTCTGTGACCTTTTATGTTAGATATTATTTTTTCTTTAAATATCTTTAACTTTCCAATGGTACATCATACCTGAATGTTATTACTCTTATTTCTGGAAATTAGTTTTCAATCTGGAAGAATATTTCTAGGAATTAAAAATAGTCAGGATATTAGTCAATAATTGGGTTTATTAAGTTTACCGACGCTTCGACCTAAGCATGTAGATCACCACCAGGGTTCGAAGGCCATACACGAACTGATAAAAACTCATAAAAAATTCACAAATTCTTTCTGGCATTGACACCAATTCCATTCCATCTCTATAAATAAGTAAATTATTAAATTCCTTTATAGCTCATATACATCCGTTATGTATTACTACTAATAATAAGAAACCTTTAATTATTTATAGTAAGCAAACTAAAAGGTACTTTAAAGGAAGAAATTTTGAAATTCAGCATTTAAGCCCTGTCATACACTTTCTATACCTGCATGACATTAAAGACCACTTAATTTCACATTGATTTGACAAGTTTAATCAAAACCGTTTGAACTTTTTTTTTTTTAGACAATTGTGAAAGTACGAAAAATTCATTATATAAAGTACCATTTACAGTCAGTTGATTAAGACAAAAAAGTTGCTATAATCAACTGCTATAAAAGTCAGCTGATGCCTACCTTAAATATATAATTTCAGTTTTCCTCATTTTTTTCTTTTGAGCTAGACTGTTCGCATATAAATAGATCTTTTTGCAGAACTTATTTATTAGGATCAGTGGTGTCAATCCCTGCCAAGTTGTTTTTAAAAAACAGTGTAAAGGAAAGTAGAATTATAAAATTTGTAGTTGATATAGAATTACACTTGCTGTGGCTTTTTTAATGTTATTTTTCTATTACTTTCTGATTTGAAACTAAAAACTTTGGTAATTGTTAAGTTATTTATATTAGTTAGTTCTTATTTGACCACAATAGTTATATCTCTAATTCGATCTTTTCCTCCTTATACTTATTTCATCATATTCTTTGTAGTTACTGAATCTCACTGTACAATATTCCTCAATTGTATTTTAATTCATTTTTATAATTAAAAAAAAAATCACCTCATTTATCCTCAGTCCTAGTTGTTTTATGGATGCATTTTATTTATTTAATTTTTTATTTACAATATTTATTTATTTTATGTTTACTATTAATATTTTTCTAATGGCATACTTATATACTTCTGTGTATTTCTTATGTGTATGTCCTATCTTCTGTCTTATTTCTTAATTTTTAGTCCTAATGATGATCCTTGGGTCGAAAAGTTGGCAAAATCCATCTATAAATTATCCAAACCTTTTAGTTACACAGATTGATACACAAAAGTCATAAAACTACTTGGAGAACAGAAATGAAATATTTAAGTTATAATTATCCATTATCTATTTTAATTTTAAGATACAAGCCAACATAAAAAAATCATAATAATTACATGATTGGCTGAATTTATTGATAATTACATTTTTATTTTCCTGAAAAGAAATTATCACTATTTCCTCACATATTAACATGAAAATAAAATCATAATTATAGGTATAAAATAAATAGTGAACTCCTTAAAATGGTAACTGATAAATATTTCATAATATCATTTTATTCTTATATATTTATTCTTTGTTTTTTTAGGAAAAAGGATACAAGAGTGCCTAAGTCTCGCTGTAAGCCTAGCTCTTATATTGTGCAATATCGTATACATCATTATGTACATTCGTTATGAAAATTTATCGTCAGTTCTTTTAGCAGCGATAGCAGGAATTATTTCGGCTGACTTTACATCAGGGTTAGTTCATTGGGCAGCAGACACATGGGGGTCAGTCGAATTACCTATCATTGGAAAGGTAAAGAATAATTATAATAATTGTCACTAATATTAAGAAACGAATAGATTGGGACACCAATCTATCAGTACCATAATTTGAGAAAAAACAAACTGATTGAAAGGATTGTTTTATCAACATTAAAGTGCTGTTTATTGAATTTTTTATATTATCAGAGCAGATTAAACCCAAAAGGAACTAAAAGTATAGGTACAGACTTTCAATTCTGGTTGGGGTGACAATGGATCCCTCCAAAAAAAATTCTCGGAAGTGTATATTATGTATAAAAATTATGAATAGCAATAAACATAAACAACATAATGATTGTAAAACAAACAATATAATACTATATATAAAAATATATTTATATACCTAGTCCTGTCATAAATATTGTTACAAGGAAATATATACAAATTTCAACAGAAAAATTAATTTTTTCAAAAAATATATTAGATAATAGATAATAGAAAATAAAATGTATATCTATAGACAGTAAAACAAAAAAAGATATTACTCAAAATGACCCCTTTTGCCTTGACACAGGCATTTATTTAATCTCTGAGGCCAGTCATCAATGGCAGCACCCAGTACTTACTTCTTGAGGAAAGCACTCAACTGTTCGGACCAGAGATTGTTTGAGGCTTTCCAAGTTCTGGTGTCAGTGGCAAATTACTTGCGTACCTACTTTTAGATCTTAGCTTAGCCAACTAGTCGACTTTTCCTATTTTCTTAATTGAATTTAGTTTACATATTTTATTCATTCATGTAGATTAATTGTTATTGATTTTGATTTTATATTTGTTCTTTGAAATTTTGGAGGGGGAAACAAAACGCTATTGTCACCCCTTCTCTATTTTTATTGTAGAGAGAGGGAACTGCTAAATGTTCAACTTAAATGGTGAAAATTCAACTTCTTTTTTTTTTAGATTTGTTTAATAACTTTATAGAAGGTTTTTAAAATCTTTTCGATCATGTCCATAATATTTAAGTTAAGGTGTTTTAAATCTTGAGACCCCTTCAGAGGCTTTTGCTACCTGGGACCCTATTAGGGGTTCCACTATGTCTATTTATATTCTTAATACTTACTTTATTTATTATCTTTATTATTTTATTTTTTCTGCAGCATTACCTGAGGCCTTTTCGTGAACATCACATTGACCCGACATCAATAACCCGCCACGACTTCATTGAAACAAATGGAGATAATTTCATGATAACGATACCCGTATTGGGGTACCTCCTTTGGGGGTTCGCTACAGAAAGTTCTGCGCACATTAAAAGAAGCTTCCCATTTAGAGCTTACCTCTTCCTATTTTCTATGTTTATAGCAATGACCAATCAGGCAAGTAATTTGAGCTATTTATTCAATTTAATATTTTAACCAAATCAAAAAGTTATTTAAGAAAAAATAACAAGATTTTTAAGTATCATATTTTAAACAATAAACTTTCACATAGCTTCAAATACATTCTGAATCATATTTTAAAAAAAATATGCTTGTTGAATAATATTGTTTTTTAAATGACTCTTTTGAATACATTTACAAGATCATCTGTTAAATTAAGATATTCTGTAGAAAAATATGAAAATGAGAAAAGCATTAAAGTATTAAAGTAAGAATAGATAGAGAAAAATATAAATAAACAATTGTATGAATGAAAGTAAATAACTTAAATTAACATTTGTTTTTGGCAACAATAACTTCCAATTAAACAACAATTAATTTATTTATACCAATTATTGGGTGTCCCACCCAAGACAACCAATAATTGGTCTAAAGGCATGATGATGCTCTGGATATTATAGACTTTAATTTGTTATAACATGAATTTAGAACCTGGCAATGGAGCACATTAGACTTAAGCCATGAATCAACAAAAAAACATTGGGATTGTACTTCTGAAGATGGGAGTAAATATCTTGAAATGTTAATATGTAAACACGTAACTTGGAAATACAACAAATAAATCAATTTTTGTTTAATTGGAAGTCATTATTGCCAAAAACAAAGAATAACATACAACTTCCAAGCAAAAAAAAAAAGTTAAATTAACATATTTTAAACAATAACTAAGAACTATAGATCAAATAGATAAATAAAATATGTTTGTTAACTTGATGGATTATATTTTGTTTGCTGGTGTTTATTTGTAAGTATATCATATAAATTAAAAAACTATGGTTTTTTATATGAGAAGGAGTTAATTAGGGGGTGCGATCAAATAAATATTAAATTAAAATATAGTAATTATTTAATTTTTACCGACGTTTCGACCCACTTTGCAGGTCGTCTTCAGGGCATAAGATGTAGCACTGCGGGAGGCAGTTGAAACACTCTGTGTAAAATAATTACTATATTTTAATTTAGTATTTATTTGATCACACCCCCCAATTAACTCCTTCTCATATTACATCAACGGTCAACCATCTCTACATCATTAAGGTTTTTTATAGTTTTTTCTTGTTAAAAAAATTTTAAATGATAAGTTGGATTAGGTGGATAATGAGTCCATTTCTATTTTTCATGGTATTTGAAGAACATTGCAGTATTTTTATAAAAAAAAAAAAAAAATAATAATAATAAAAATAAAATGAAAAGAAGGCATTTTTATATTGAAATAACATAATAATATCTATACCTCGTTAAATATTATATTATTGGGTGAGGATTCTATTGTTCCTGGTTTGAAATATTGTGGATTTGGCTCTCCATATTTATTTCATTTCAATCTCGGCTTAAATTAAATGTGCCATCTGATTATAAAATATGTCTTTGCATATGATATGAACAATTAAAATCAAATGGTGTACATTTATTAACTCTAATAGCTAGATGTTCTAATTTGATTTAATATTTCAGATTCATAAATGGTCGCATACTTACTTTAGATTACCAGGATGGGTGACGTGGTTACAGTCATTTCATATAATCCTGCCGAGGTGTCATCATAGACTGCATCACGTTTCACCTCATGAAAGTTATTACTGTATTACAACCGGCTGGCTTAACTACCCTCTGGAATATATTCGATTCTGGCCAGCTCTTGAGTCTGTTGTATCCAAGTTCACAGGGAGTAAGCCCAGGCAAGATGACATGGCGTGGGCTCAGAAAAGATTATAGGGTAAAAATTTAATTTATTAAAATTAATGAGTTGATACATTTAATTATCATGGGCTATAATATAGTTATATCCTTCATTTCAAGTTCTATATATTTTTAAAAAATTTAAATTAGAACCAACATCTTTAAAGTGATCACTGACAATCACCCCACTTCAACTTTTCACATCAGCTGATAATTCAGTATAACAACTGAAAAAAACTGGTTTTGAGTCTATTCAAAGAAAATAAGAAAAAAATTTAGCCAGTTGGTGAATACAGTTCACTTAAGTTGACAATATTGATTGCATAAAATATTATAACATCCCTTTTATATTTGAAAAATAATAATAAAATAACCTCGGAAGCTCACTTCTTACCATTGGGATACTTCCTAAATAAAATAGAGGTTGTGTAATAATAAACAAAATTATAAGAGAATTAATATATTTATTTGTCTCAGGTGTGTGCTACTGACAATCAGATCAACTCAGACAAACTATTATTATTTAAACTATTTATACTAAAATTAAACACTGATTGATTTTAAAATAAAGTCAAATATGGATTGGCAAGCTAACCTTTTTCTATATTATATGTTTCTTTCTTTGTGACACTGAACTCATTTGCCTTCAAACACTTTCCAAAATTCTGCCAAACAACTCTTCCAAATTGGTAACACTATTACTGGGCTTTACCCACTGGAGCCAGGATCACTTCTTCCATGCTCTCTTCACCCCAGCCAAACACCAATTGCCCGCCAAAACAAAAACCTTTGTCCCTCTCCTCTTTGGGATTTTCCTTCTTGGAAAACTACAGAGCAGCCATTTTCTTTTCCCTGCATTAGTAGAACTAGATTAACTTGCCTTTTAATTGCTCAACATTAATTTATTAAATCATTTTTACCCAATTCCAATAAAGGTGTATATTACAATATATTCTCTCTTTTTTCATTATCTCTCTCCTAGTTCCATCCAATAATCTATCTAAGTTCTTCTTATATAAGACCCAACTTTTTCTGCCATATTATAAGTTAAAGTGCTTTGAAAATATGGAGTTTGACATTCTTCACTAGCTCTAATATTACAATTTGATGATAGATGTTATTATTTTTTTTAAATTCTGTTGGATCCTTCTTAACATCATATTTTCTCTATTTACACTATTTTCCTTGATTAGTTCAAAAATTGTTCCTAGGCAGGTGTAATCAATATTCTCCAGAACTAATTCATTACATATCAATCTTACCTCAAGCTTTCATTATTTTGTTTTCCATCCTTCTTTGCCTATGAAGTAATACGAGCATTTACAACTACGAAACTAAAGCATGCATACATAACATAATAAAGTATCTAGCTAATATAATAATACATGTTAATCAATTTCTCTACACACAGCTTGATCTTAATCATTCTTCAGTTTGACTACCCTCCTCTCCTCTGTCCAGCAGATTCGATAGTTTGATTTGTGGTCTCTTATACAATTTCCTTCTACCCAAACACAAAGTTCTTGAAGTGTTGGTAATCATCAGCAGAGGAAACTCGCTATCCATCATAATACAGAACCATGTCTCCCTTAGTCCCACACAGATAGTGCAGGCTACAAGATATGCTTGGTGGCTTGAGGTACTCCACAAATGGGGTGTAGATTGATACTTTTTATCATATTTAAACAGTTTTGCTTTGAAAATTGTTTCTAGATGTGATTAGACAGTGGGAAAGTAGTTCCTTAGTGTAACTCCATTTTTGGCTGTCGGTTCTATTTTTCTACCTAATGTATTCTCCCAGAAGATCGTGTACTTTACTGATCCTATCTTCTAGATTCACTGATATATCTGCCAAGCCATCCCTGTTAATATTTTTCTAGTCTTCTCGCAAGAAGAGATCAAGAGGAATAGCTCCTTATTTCAATGTCCTATTATATTATGTTGTTATAATATAATTATATTATATTATATCATACAAATTTATGTTACATACATACACATTTATTATAAACATACAATTTATACTTACAAAATTAAATTATATCACCTGGTTAAATGTAAGAGAGCCAATCACTGGATCTTCACAAAGCTGCTTTTTTTCTATCTATGCAAGATGTTCCGATCTGAGAATGGTTTTAATACAAAATGATATTTTGCTCAATCCATAGATCCACCTCATTCTTCAATGTCCTATTATAATATATCATTATAATATAACCTGTACTACTTGTACAGGTTCAGTACTATTTAGGAAGATCAGTCAAGCATTGGAAGATCAGTGCCCTACCACTGAGGGGGCAGCTCCTCCTCTCATTTTAATATAATTATATTATATTATATCAAACAAATTTATATTACATAAATACACATTTATTATACACATAAAAAATTATATGATATCACCTGATTACGTTTTTTTTTCTATCTATGCAAGATGTTCTCATCTGGGAATGATTTAGTACAAAATGATGCTTTGCTAGATCCACAGATACCTCATTCTTATGAAGAATTCTCTAATTTTGTAAAGCCCTAAGTTAAATCATTTATATTTCCCAATGAATAGTTTATTATTTGGAAAAACATTTCACTAACTTTAATTATTTAATAAAAAATAAAGAATGGAGTTGATTAAATTAATTAATTCAACATTGCTTTGTTTTGTTTTTTAGCTCCAGATTACAACACTGAATCGGGCCCTGAATTCATGAGAAAAACTTTGGAATGGGCATTTTAGCTTAATGGCTACCAATAGCATTTATTAGTAAGACAGATTAAGGTAGCTAAATGAATATTTATAAAATGAAATTTTTATACTATTAAAAATGAAACCTGTGCCATAGGTTTTGAATTAACAATAAAATAAGTGCTAAATAAAATGTTATTCGGCTATAAAAATTTGAAATACTCCAGTTTTAATAGAAACTATCTGGAATTGAACTAGAACAAAATTTATATTTATATAATCTATATTGTATTGCAGACAGAAGACATACTTTAATGTTTAACTTTAAGGAGTCAATTTTATTAATATTTTGAGCTTTATAAATGTACAGTGATTAATATAATATTTAAATTTGTATTTAATGGGATAACTATGCCGGTTGTCTATCTTTATGCAAGGACAAAAGAGTTTATTGAAGACAAAACTATTTTGTCTAAAATGATATTTAACTCATTAAATTTTTTGTCAAGCATTTCTATTCCTCAAGTGCTTGCATTTCAATTGAAATGATTGCTCAGACAAAAATGCCTTATAGTTTTAATTGCCAAAAATATATTTTTACACAATTGTGAATAAACCAAAAAAAAAAAACAGTTATTTTTTATAATTGTGTAGCTTTTAGTTTGTCAGTTTTATTGCACATTTTTTAAAGAAATTTTATACTCAATTGAGAAAACTAATAATGGCATATTGCTTTAAAATGCGGCCTAAATGTTTTATAATCAGTCAAGAGAATATTCTTTTGTATATAATACTATGCACTCTTCATCAGAATAAATTAATTACAATAAATTTATATAAAAGTTTTGTTCAATGGCAAACAATAAATATTTTAAAAAATATATATTTTCTGTTAAAAATAATTAAACTGTTTCAAAAACACGTACATTTCTACTATGGAAATGTTTTTATAATTCAAATTGAGTATCAAAAGTATTTTTATTATAGGAATTGAATATCAAAAGTATTTGGAATATATTCTTATTTATTTATCTGTTTTTCAATCCATATGTTCATGATAAAAGAACAATACATTAAAAAAAAATTATTTTTTTAAAAATAAAATTTTGAATAATTATCAATGTGAAGTTTGATATTAAATCTCTTTTTTTTCCTATTGTAAATTTTAGCCCCTAAGGTATTGATTCACATTCGATTAATTTAATAATTGTTCAACTCGCATATTAAAATTTCAAGTATTGTATTTCCTAAATTTTACAGTAAATTCATAAGAAAGGTAATTTTCAGATATTTAAAAATTGATCACTCCCATTGCATTTAATTATCTTTTTAAAGCAAGGAGATGGTCCTGGGTGGCAGACATAAATAGGCCAAATCTGTTTTATTTTTATTTTATATTATGGCTTTTAATAAAATAGTTTTGCCACTATTTAGCCTATTTATGACTGCCACCCTGGACCATCTCTTTCCTTTATAATGCAACGGTCAACAATTCAATATTCGATTATCTTTTTAGTTTTGTTTTGTGAATATTAACCCCTTTAAAGAAAAATTGCTCCCCAAACTTTTACTTTCCATATTTATTTGTTTCACACATATTTTTTACTTATCTAGCTAATGAAGAGAATTTCTTTTAAAAATGTATACATTTTTAAATATATATATATATATAATCTGATTGTTGTGAAAAAATACTTATTTAATAAACAATCAATCGAATTTCTGAATACTTTTGAAACTCAGTGAGTATAATATGACTTAATAATATAATTATTTATATTAATATAAATAATTATATCATATTATGTTGAACTTGATTTTGTGAATTAAATTAAAAATCTAATAATTCTGATATTTGTTTAAACAATTAATATGAAAAAAAAATATAAACCATTATCAAATTTATTTTTTAATTTTGTTCTTAATTTTGTTTTTAATTTTTAATCATTTGTTTATTTATGTCTATATTTCTTTTTTTATGGGATATTAAGCCAATAGTGTTTGAGGAAAAATCTTATGTCATATGTATGTTATAAATAAATAAGCATCATCTAAAATTTCTATTATTACTGCAGTTTAATAACAATCACAATAAAAAAATTATATGAAGTGTGTTAATAATAATAATTTTTTGGTTTCAAAAACTTAATGTGAAGGTATAATCGAATATTTGCAGAGTATATATCTATATCTATATAAAATTGATAAAAATTTATCAACTATTTTATGTTGAGTTGATCTAATATATATATATATATATATATATATATATATATATATATATATATATATATATATATATATATTAGATCAACTTTTATCAACTTATATATATTAGATCAATTTATATTTG